CTTTGCACCTCTCCCTTATCCCCTTATAGAGTGTACTAGATACATGTGCAAAAGGGAAGTTATCCCTTTAGAAGTTCTATATATACATATTACATTTTCCAAACGTAGACATGTAAGGCAGCAGGATGGTTTTTTTTTTTTTAAATCTCTGCTGTTATCTTTTAGTTCTTTTTCCATTTCCCTCTTCACTATTCATAAAATTGACCAAAACTCATCAGCCTTCCTTATGGAATTGTGTACATCTATCAATAGAATCCATTTTATCATTCAGGCAACTACCTGTTCTAGCATTGTGACTACAGCATTTAGGGAAGTGTCGTAGCCTAAATGATTATTTTTCTACTTGTCTATGAGGCCCTCTTGGCTTTTCTGGTTACTCACCTTCTTATAAATAGCACCAGTCGTCTTTCTGTTTGATTCCTACATTTAAACTGGGGAGTCTTCTACAATTAATCAATAGATGCCTTAGCACATGCATGTCCCCCTCCAGTCAGATATGAAGCAAAAGCAATTAGCAAATCCAAAACTCAAATTAGAATGTTAAGACATCCATAGGATTGAAGGATGAATGAAACAGTTATGGAAAGGTATCTCCAGGAGTAGAAAGCGTGCAATATCATCTCTTCTGCAACAGCAAACACCTGGAGGAGCCTCATGGAGCATCCAGGGAAGCTCTGGGAGCTCTGCTTTACTTAGGCCAGGGTGGCTGTGCTATGTAGTATCGTAGTGGAGTTCTGAATCTATACTGGGACAGTGTGGTGAATTAGTGGGAACTTAAAACTGCACTTTTTAGATAAATAACTGTTAAATAGTTACTCTTAAATGTTATTTCTAAGGTGTTTAAAAAAACGCAACATAACCCAAACTGAACCCCCAGAACTCTTGAGAATACAAAGTATCAATATTTGGAAGTGTTTTTGAAATACAATGTATAGAAGCTTTCATGGAATATAATGTATTTTGAAATACCTGTAAAGTTGTTTTAGGGCTATTTATTCCAGGGCCAGGCACCCAGATACATTTTATAGGGGTGAGTTAAAGACTGTGTGGGACAAGTCCAAAGACCCCAGAAGTTATAGATATCCAAAAATGTGTAAGAACTGTGTATAAACATGCACACACACATATAACTATGGCTATTCAGTCCTCATAGCACATAATGAGCTTTGACTATTTCACATTAAACTGGCTGTTTATTGTATTTCTGTGTCGACTGCCCTTGTGCTGCTGCAAGGTGAACTCAAACTCTGCACACACCTGTCTAAACAATCAGGGAAAAAGCAAGAACTGCCATGACAACGCTGGGGACTATTACAGTTTTGAGGCCCTGGATGTAAAGGTGGGATGACATTTTTGGTCTGGTGAAGCTTCTGTGTTACATTGGCCCAGACAGAGATTAACAAAGCAGCCTGAGAGTGCCAGACACAGGCATCCCCCGCATTTTCTTCGGTGTCTGTACAGTTACCTCTCAGATTTTTAAAATCATCTCTCCTGGAAGTGCATTAGTCCATATCCATGTAAATGAGCTTCATTTTTTTCTGGACAAGCTCCTTTTCCCTAAAAAAAATCCAGAACAAATAAACAAAAAAAACAACAAGAATCTCTTGGGTGACACTGCTTGGGAGAACTGCCGGCAAGGCCAAAACTGGCACAACTGTAAAACAACATTCAGCTTCCACAACCAACACCATACTTCTTTTAGGAAAACAGGAAAGGAAAAAAAAAAAAAAGAGACAGAAAAGGAAAAAAATTCTTAATGTTTTGTTTCACTATATAACTAACTTGAATTGTAGCTAGCATGGTTCTTTGTTTACAAGTCCTTTAATGTCACTGTGACAGCGATTTTGACAATGGGCTGGCTGACTGCAGGAAAGCATGCAGAAATTCTCTAATGCTACTTATCATTGCATTGGTACAGTGCGTATTTTACCTTTTTTTCATGGATTGCCTGTAGTCTAAGTTAATTTTAAGTTCAGTTCATTGAATTGGCATCTGAAAACATAAAGGTTTGCATTCTACTTTTGGCTGTTCCTGAAAGGCTGTGTCACAGAAACCATCCTTCTACCCTTTTCCATCATGCTGCTTACACCATGCGTTAAACCTGCATCCACACATAAATTACAACACTGGCATGCTGTAGTAAAATCTATGGGAACATCCTGAGCACTTCTTGAAATTATCTCATGTGCCCTCTGGAAGAGTTTCTTCCTTCTTGATGGCCTCACAGATTGAAGCTCTTACAGGCCAGCATTTTGCATAGCTTTACTGGTCCATCCTGATGGATCAGAGTGGTGTGCTTAGGACAACATAGAAAAACATAGGTGCAGACAGGAGGGGGATGTTCATGATTGTCTCAAATATGCATGACATGGGGCAGTCATGCATGAAAATGTTTTAAAGTCTTCAGAAATATACAGTGATACGTCATGATAAGGGGTAAAGAGAAGCAGCTTTTTTAATATCTTAACTATATTTAATTTCCATGTGTGCATCAGAACAGGAAACACAGCATGATACAGTCTTTGCTTGTGTATAAAGAAGGGATGATCAAGCCAGTAACACATTTTCTGCCCTGTCCCGTGTTAGCAACTTGTCATGATGCTTGGGGATAAAACAGCCTCCAAGACAGGGAATCGGTTCTGGAAGAGAAGCCATACACTATCACTGTCTGCAAGCTGGATAACCAAGCATTCTTTCTCTATGATTAACTATTAACTGATGTTAAGAAAAATGAGAAGAAAAAAACCACAACAACGTCTAAATAGTTATGTGTTGCAGCAAAGCTCAGTGCAAGAACTTAAAAGGAAGGGAAGGCATTTTTAATTTAAATCAAAAGTGATTTCTCTCACACATCCTAACACACACACTCAAAGCATCAGATTTGCAAGTGGGCAGGCTGGCACTGCTTGCAGGAACAGGCAGGACTAGAAATGCTTGCTGTCAGCCCTCAACAGGTCTCCTGCAAGGGGGAGGTGTTGGCTACCATGTGCTCGCCTTTGAATGGCCTCTTGTGCAGTTTAGAAGCCTAACACCAGTTCTGTTCTTCTGTCTCTCCAACCTCCAACACTTCAGTGACCATTAGAATTTACTCACCAACTGTTGTCTTCATAGCAGAGTGTGTTATTGGTCCAGGACTGATCATGACCTTCCTCTCACCTTCTCTCAAATGCTTTAGTTTATACTGTCCCATGCTTTTTGCTCTGCTTTGTTTTCACAGCCTGGTAGTCCCAGACAAGCTGCAGGTAGATCTTTTGGGATCTTGATTACCTGCTCTCCAGGGACAGCTGACACTGTCAATACTTACAGCTATTCTTCTGCTCTTCTTTCTGGTGCTTGCATATACTAGGTGTTTCCAGAGTTCTGGGAACATGTGGGTTTTCATATTTTTAGACTAACATACATTTTTTCCCCCATCTCACAATTTCAGTTATTAATGCTGTATGAGTACT